TCTCTCTCTCTCTCAATATCTATCTATCTCCAAACCACACACACACACACACACACACACACACACACATACACACATACACACACACATACACACACACATACATACACACACATACTAACATACACGCACATACAAACTTTCAAGCACATACTTCTGAAGTTCATGGCATAATCTGCTTTTTAGCACAGATTGCTATTACCTTTTAGGTTAAAATTATGTTAGCCCCCAAAAGTACACGTATCTTAGATTCTTGTATCTGTCTTGGTGGTGACGGGATAGCCTATAACTGCATAGCATAATATGTGGCTATTTTTCCAAGTTTATTCCATTTATGGACTATTAAATTATATGATATTCGTTTACCTTTTTTTTTTTTTTTAAAGGAAGCAAAATGGGGTGAATAAGACCGTTTGAAAGACAAAAAGAGGGGGTTATCTGCGTAGCTCACTTATAGATATACTTGGAATTGCCAACATGAATCTCTTTTTCAAACATTTCACTTAATTGACTTATTCTAAAATCTAAGCTAGATCTATACTGAGATAAATGGGGAAAAAAGACCCAAAAAAACCCCATTTTTTCCGCATGCGTAGATTTCTTCTAACCCGCCGACTGGTTATTGAACCATAGCGACTACGAGGGACATCCGATCTCATAAGCTCAAAGCAACGGCTTCAAACAAATCTCATGGGTAGCACAGGCTATCAATAACATTCATTTATTGTATCCAAAAATAGCAGACATCGCAGAGAGCGAGCTTGTTACATTACAAACTGCTGACTCGGAGGAAAAGCGCTGTTGTCTTAATATTTAAACTGAAATGCAAAACAAGGATGAAAATACTTACTTTTAAGGCTACCACAACTGCGTGATCCCCCTCCTGTGATAAATAGTAGGAAGCCTGTGTTTGTAAACGAACAGTTTGCAAGTTCGGACGAGTCGCGCCAGCGTTGTTTCGCTAGGAAACTAATTTTTATATAGCTTCCGTGCTTAGTAACAACGAAACAATAAAGTATTTTTGTAGAAAGTGCTCCATACAAAATCCGTCTTCATGGTCTGAAAAAAAACCTTCAAATATCTCAACGAAATATGGAATTTAGAAATATTATTTTCTAGATCTAAATCAAATGAATTGCAAAAAAATACATGTTACTTGTTTTTACTTTCATGTTTTGCTAGGAACGGAACGAGTGTTTAGTTGTAGAGGTACTTCCGCTTTCTGACGGTCAAGGTCAAAATGGCTGTGGAGAAAATGAAACTAGATGTATGGAACGGTGATTGGGGTTTACCCTCAATTGATCCCCACTGCCTTGCTGTTCTGGTGTGTATCCTTTTCTTTTTAATGCAATGGAAGGAATAAACCACAAACACGTGCCTTTGCTGACATTTTGTACTGGTTGACTGTTACTGTTACTGTTGTTAGCAGCTCTGCATGAGTGTTGTCAGTTGTTATTTTTACACGACAGAATAAAATAATAAACACAAAAGAAAGTCTTTTTCAGTCACAAGTCTGGAAGAACTTCCGTAACGAGCGACCACCCCATCAAACAAAATAAAGAAGAGGTCTAATCCTAACCCTACCCCTACCCCTAGCCCTCAATTCTGCTCTGTTTCATAGTGGTCGCTCCTTACGGAAGTCCTCTCAAAGTCTTTTCCAGTCAGACAATCAAAATGAAAGTATTTAAAGTTGTCTACCTTCTGATCCAGTATGTCGATGAACCTCTTGTCTTTTTGTCTTCGGATAGATCTAAATCTAGATCTAGGCTAAATCTGAAATTTGGGAGGGCTAATATATTATAATGAAGATCACGGCTCATGGACACTCCATTGTAACGATTTCTGGTTGTGACTGATCGAGATGTCTCAGCCTTCAGCAGTGATGCTTGTTTTTTTGTTGCTTTTCCTTCTTTTAATCAGAGACTAACTCAAACTGTGCATTATAGATTCTAGCAATGTGAACCACTCGACATCCGTATTTCCACTTTCCACCTTTTGCCTTTTGTATTCAGATTTGGAGAACTCGGGAGCCTACTATCTAGGTCTAGAAATCTAGATCTAGATCTAGATTCTATTCCCCGCTCCAGGGCAGTGCTACTGACTGAAGTGTCTGTAGGCCATATTTCCAAAGGGGGGATATATTAACATGTTCTTATGTGCGCAGTAGAATTGTAAATGGGGGCTGATTTATCAATGTCATGCTCATACTGTGCCGGAACAAAGGGGAAACTGCTGCTTTTTGTCCTCATCCTTACTGTCATCATTTTTCCTCAACCTGTTTTTTGTATTTTGTCACTCTCTTGTGAACTGCTGTTTCCGGGGTGCCTTGATAGTTGAAGCACACTTTGTACTGTTGAGGCTAGAGAGATGAGTAGAGCTACACGTACAAGCCTGATTCTCCGTTTGGACTCCTCTGATATCCACCACCCCTTGGCGCTTTCCTTATCATGCAGTTTTGAGCACCATAAAACCTTACTATGAAACATTGTTTAATTTTTGTACATGATTTGGATTCGACTACCAACATCACATTTCAAAATAATTATTATTTTTCATCTTGTTTTAGTTCTTTATCATTGTCATTTTACACTCAAGGTTCCTCAGGGGAGAATGATCCTATTATAAGCACAAAATCGGGGGGCTTTCAAGGTTGGGGGGTGGGGGGGGGGGGACATACACTTCTCAATTTTGCCATTATGTTTTGAGATGAAAACTTTTAGCTTTTACAGAACATTGGTCTTGGTTGATGGGAAAAGTGATAGTTGAATCTTATCTCATTATTCAATTTATCAAAATTTGAATAAAATATTGGAAAACTGAAATTAACAAAGGCTAACCACTCAACCTCTCTAGCGAAAATAAACTTTTATAAAACTGTATATAATGTAAAATAGAAGAGCTGGCTTAACAAAAATAACATTAGGTAGATTCTAGTGCAACGGTCTTCTCTCTGGCGGCAACAGAAGTTGGTAAATTAAAGTAAGTTAATTGGAGGTCCAATTATATTCCTTCCTTTCATGTGTTTAGGATGTGACTCTTAGACTGTATAAAACTGGTCTTTCTGGTCTGGCGGTATTCCCTATAGATGTGCAATCCTACCAACTGACTCGAAGGTCGCGAGAATGTTTCAATGTTAGGTTTTAACACACAGGTTAGTTACAAATAAGGGTGAACAGAGCATGGTCCAAGAGTCAGAATTGTCTGTCTCCAATACAAAAACCAAATGTTGAAAATATGAAAGTTAGTAGCCTACCATTTGACTTACTTGGTTTCAACCCACAAAATCATTTGCTAATGTCGCGTAATTGTGCTAAGGGTTGGATGTTGAGCTGGCCAAATTGGAGTAATTCAATTAATTGTATACACACATTCCCTTTCATTTTCAGTTGATGTAAAAAAAACACGAGTGCTGCATTATATTGGAATCAGTCATATATATCAGTAATTTAAGTCAAGACAGAACATGATATAATCTCTCTTAAAAGGACTGTTTAAATATTATTCTCTTAAAAAGCTCATGATGATGGCAGTATTTGTATTACTAGTGCTATCATCTTGGATTCCAGCATCAGTATCAGTGATACAGGTAGCTATGATCGACATTTTCTTGATGAAATATTTATCAAGAAAGGAAGAATATAATTTTGGTTTTGTAAGGCTCAGAACTTCCGAAAATGCCTCTCAGAAAAAATGTTTGTCTTGATCTCAAAAGAAAATGATTCCAGGTTAAGAAAACATTAGCTTTGAAAACAAATTGTTTTCGACCTTTTATAAAAAAATTTATAGACCATAAGGATTACCTCTCAGTTTTTATACTGTGTTGATTTTTTCATGTCAAAATTCAGTTCATATACATTAAAATGGTTTTGTTCATGTGAACTCCTCTTATTTTCTCATTGTGTTGGAAAAGCTTTTTGGGTTTGTTGTTTGTTTGTTTTTTGTTTGTCACTTTTGCCTCATAGAATGCCAATGAACTAAAGTTGGAGTCATATATATATACACATGTACATGTATTAGTGTTTTTATTTCTTTTTTAAGGCATATTGCAAGTTTTCTGGCGTGCCAATTGAGGTGACACAGACAGGGAATCCATGGAGGTCACCAACAGGTCAGAGTAATGTTTTTATACTGTGAAAAATAAACATTTACTTTCAAATTTATTTTGCCTTTATGATGACCAGGTTTATTTACTGACATAATACATTGTTCGAAAGAAGTGTTAGGTCCCACTCCAACAAGTAATGAAAACGATTGCGCTCTGTTTGTACAATTTTATTCACAAAAAAAGTCAGGTGAATGTATGCACTGCTGGCCAACTATGGCTGTCTATGGTCAGATGTTTACACATGTTGAGAGACAATAGAAATATGTGTCAGGATGCAATCGAATCAAGTGTTTGTCAATTTTCGGGCATGGTTAGTTATTGGTATCATCTGAAAGCTTTTGGCATGTTTTGCTTTCGATGAAAAAAAATATCCGTCTATCGTGAATAGAAGCTGACACATTTGCAATTGAAGGAGATGGGAGTCATCTGATTTCAGAGGTAAACTTTGTGAGAAAATGTCCTCCAAAATGTGGTAACTTTCATAAGTCCTTGGAAATTGAAACTTTACATTGATTATACCTGTAATCCATGTTTTTCAGTAAAATACATACAGAAATGTGTTTTTTAAATAGACACAAAAGGCTGTTGAGTCAAAAAATTGCCAAACCAACAAAAAAATGCAGGTTGCTTTGTTTATTTGATTTCATTCTTTGGACCAGCCCCTGATTTCACCATGATGCCTCACATATAGCCCAATTCTGTGTTTTGTGATATGATTTAAAAGGTTTTACTTATATTCACAAGCAGGGTAATGGCAAGTGATACGGTGATGTTTCTTGCCGTTTTCTATTTTCAAAATTGTACCTTACTGTTAGTCCTTTGAAATACTTTTGTTTAGTTTTAGTTTTAGTAGACGTTTTACGGCACTCGCAACTGCATAAGATCATATGAGCGCCAGAAGATTAGAGGTGTCACAAGAGAGTAACAAACATAAAAAAGAAGAAAGGGAGATAAGGACGATAGATGTTTGATAGGAAAGAAGAAGCAAACCACACCAGAGCACCCACCAACCACCCACAATACTTTTGTAATATTTATCTTTTCTTTTTCAGGGACTTTACCTGTTCTTCGCAATCAGGATGTTGTCTGCACTAAAGTTACAGACATTTTTAGTTATCTCAGAAAAGAGGTAGGGGCCTAATGATTGAAAATCCTGTCTGTTGTTTCACATTCAACGTATTGTTTCTGGTTTAACAATTTAATATCGAATGGTTCCTTTACTTCTCAGAAGACTATTTTTTTATGGATATATTCTTGTCTCTCTTTTATGATTGTAAGAATGATTACAAAATTTATCTCAGATCTTCCTCCATAATTTACTCGAGCTTCGGTATAGGTGTTAGCTTGAGACTAGTTATTGAATCGGGTAGTTTGAAAGAATGATTCTTTGGTGCCTCATTAATTACAAGAATTGCAGTCTTGGTTTTATAAAGGTATGGAGTCCGGAAAATTTTAGAATGCTAACTATTTTAATCCTGTAATCTTAATGTATCCCTGTTGTAAATGAGTAGGTCAGAGCTACTTGATATTGTATGAGCAATTCTCTCCGGACGTTTTGTCATCTCTCTGACTTATCTGTTTTTGACTTGTTTTGTTTTTTTCATTACTTTTCAGCACTGGGGAAGTGACTTTGAGCTGTCCACCAAACAGAGTGCGGATGTGATAGCTTTCTCTGCCATGCTCGAGGAAAAACTGCTGCCAGCCTTGGTATGTGCTGACTTAAATCAAACTGCTCATTTATGCTGCCTGTTCCCCCCCAAATAGACCCACCTCTTCGTGGTGGGGGGGATTAGTACTTTTCGAATAGGAAAAGAAAAAGAGGAAGCTAACGGGTCAAGGGGTGACCCCGAAAAGAGACATATTACTTTTCTATGTATCTTACTCTTTCTGTTTATTGTTTTTATTGTTTACTTTATTACATTTATTAACTTTTCTTTTCTCCTCTCTCCATCGACAACCTTTCTTTGACCTGGAGTTGGGACGGGTATTGGTGGGGTGGAAAGCAGAGGTTCATTGTCAGCACTGTACTGGATGTGACTTTACGTAGGGAATACCCAGCTACATACATGTAATAAGCATGCACTTATCGGAGAGCCCTATGACTGCGGAGAAGGTGCAGAGGCCATTTGCGTCTTGCTTGTTGACAACATTAACCCTCTGGGATCTGCCATGCCTTCCCCTGCCCCCATCTCTCGGATGAGAGGACTTGGTTGCTCAGGGAGGGGGGGGGGGGGGAAATCTAGCTTCCAATTGGTATTATTACTACTATTAGTATTATTATTATTATTATACTATAATTTTTGTATTTCAGCAACACACAGCAACTATGCTCTTAATAGCGTCTTTCTCTTCTTTATCTCCTCAAACAACTTCTCAATATAATACAACAGACACCAACATACCCATTCATTTTTCTTATAATCTCCCTGTGATGGAGTTGGGTTTTTGTTTGTAGCATTGCACCTACAGCCACTGCTTTATCTCCTACCCTGGGATGGAAGGAAAATCACAGAGAACCACCAGTTTTAGATGCTGCCTGTTACTTTATCCTGTACTGCAGTAGTAATCCTGGAGCACTCTATTTTGCTTATGTGCTTCTTGTCTGAGGATGCTGTTAATCTGTAAAATATACTTCTTTTTTTGCATTAGCCATGGACTTATGTAATATGTTTCTTTCTCGCTTTTTCTTTTTGTGTTCGTTATAGTATCCACTGAAGTTTTGATCAATAAAGAACACTTATCTCAATACCAGCTGTACGCATGAGGTGTTATCCATTACATTTATCTTTCTCAGCTCCATTTGTGGTGGATGGATGACAAGACATTTGTTGATGTGACAAGACCTTGGTACTCACGGGTCATACCTTTTCCTCTCAATTTCTTCCTTCCAAGAAGAACACAGAAAAAAGCTGAAATGAGAGTAACACTGACCAAAGGGAATGAATTCATTACAGATGTTGAAACAGAAGCAAAGGTAAGAAAAAATTTGGTCATTGTAGGAACGATAGTTTTTTATTTTTAGATATCATTTTTAGTCTTGCTATACTTCTGGTTTTCAGATTTATTACATTTGTTGTACGAACTTTTTAGTGATGTATGCAGGGAGTGAGATCTACTATTTCTGCTTTCGAGAGAGCTTTTATGGGGGGGATCGTTACTCCCACGCTTGGCTTATTAGCCTGTCTCACCTCCTGTTTATGAGTTAATTTTAACAAGAAAGATGTACAGAAAACTACACCCAACATGATTATCAACGGTACTTCTCTAATCGCAGTTGTTCCTGTGTTATTTTGCCTGAACAAGCTTTGCCGTTTGTTTTTTTGAATTGATCTCTTAGAATCTGAGAGTGTAAGAGATATTAGCATATGTTTTAAATGATGAAGTTGGGCTCTCTGTCTGAAGATGTGGACTGTCTTTGAAATATGTTGTATGATATGAGCTTCATACCTCTTTAAAAGCTGAAATGGTTATTCAAGATGCAGAATCTCAGATTTAGTGTTCCCCTCTAGTGCTGGTGAATAGAAAGCCAGGAAAACTCTGCAACACCTTAACTTCAATGGCTCCATTAAGGATTTGAAAATGGATCATTCCTCTCGCAGCACGGCAGGATATTGACTGAGTACACCATTTGAAATGTGCAATGGTTCATATTAAGACAGATAAGGGAAAGTGTACTTTCCTATTTTCCCCAGCCCTTTTCTTTGGTGTAAAATGTTTCCAGCTCGACAAAATCTTCAAAAGCAACCAGAAAGGCATAACCCATGTCATTACCGTTTACCCCCTTCCACCAGAAGGACACAGTGCATGTCATTTTCACTTTCCCTAATTAAATACACATTTCCTTCCAGAACTCCATAACCATGTGTCCGTTCAAGTTTCAAATAGACTTGATGATACTTCCTTTATTTGTGAAAATTCAAACTCTAGAATCCAAGTCACTTTCCAAATCAGGATGGTTAGTCAAATTCCTATATATAATAATTCAACTGCTTTTTTTGCATTCAATCTCTATCCACTTCCCTGATGTTGCCAATGGTTATTAATTTTTTGGCTGGGTAAATTAGATAGATATCTTTGTCCAAATTTGCCTGTGATACAAAAACTGAATGACAGCACAGATTTAATTCTGGCTGTCCAGGAAAATCCATGAAATTAATTCTGGCTGATAGATATAAGTGATATAAGAATGCTTTATGATTATGTCTTGAATTGCTATGCTTATGTTTTCCCCGTATCAAAGGGATGGTCAAGACCTCGTCAAGTTGATATTGGAATGAATATTATTCTAGAATTAAAGTAATATCATTTACTTGTCTTTTTTAGTGCTTTTCAGGGTATGTGTGTTTTTGTTGGGTTTTTCCACATTTTTTCCTCTGATTTTCTATTTTTTGTTTTCAGGTGTACAGGGAAGCAAAAGAATGTTTAAATATTTTGTCATACAAGCTCGGGACCAAAAACTACATGTTTGGAAATCTGTAAGTAAGAAAAAACGGATAATTACACTTATGAGCTTATCAAGCTGAGCTCAACTACTAGATCAATAATTGTTTTCTATGAGCTTTTTCTGAGTTTCTGAATCTGAAAGTTTGTGTAGTGTAAGATGTCTCTGGTAGAATTGCAGTGGTTCAGACAGTATGTGGAAAGAGTTATTTACTGGAAAGCTAGTGAATGACTATTTTATTTTCAAGTGTGTTGGTTTTTTGTTTTTATTTATTTTTATTTTTTGGGGGGAGGGGGGGTTCTCTTTGAATGAGCATAACACCTTACTAAACACAATTAGTCATTTTAAAAGAGGAGTAATTGGCCCATTGTTAAATGGAAATGAGAAAAAAGAGACGATACACCAAATCAAATACCAAAATTGTACATCTGAACATTCATGTCCTTATGTGCTTTTCCATCTTTAAAAGGATTTTAAATTGTTGATGTCCTAAAGGTTAGTTTATAGCCCTCCCGTCTCCCTACCTCCACTCCTACACTTACGTCATTGTCTCATACTTAACACTTTCCACCCCCGCAGCGCCGCGCAGAACGCCCAACACTTGTCTAAATGGACCATGATGCAGATGCGGTACAGCAGTACTACACCTGTATCTCGGCAAAAGTTCCCCAACCATTATTAAAACTTCAGCATACTGAGAAAGTTTAATGTAATGATCACGTGTAAAAAAAAAAGAATTAAAATCGGAACTGAACACTTTAGATCTAGCTCATTCATCACCCAAATTCTCATCATGGCATAAGAGTAAAACAGCACTTATGCTAGGTCTACTCAACATTTTTTTAAAAATTTACTTCAATTGTTGTATAGATACTGATTTTCGACTTCAAACTCAAAGGCTACTCAAACCATCCAGAAAGGAATTTTAACTTTAACAAGTGCGCTTGCCAAAAACAAGATCATTCCTGGAACGTTTTTGTTGCTATATCACACCTTCACTGATCGGCATCATGTGGAGGAAAGGGACGGCTTCTTACCGTTGCCGATAGGCGTCCCGTGGGGGCAAAATGCTAAAGCGTTTAAACTGTTTTTGGTAAGCAGTGTATTTGTTGCCCCAGGCTCAGAATTTGTGCTACATGTACTTGAAAATTATTTATTCTTATGAATAAGTGAAGTTATAAATTTCTCCATGTACAATTTCAGTTGGACTACTGTACTCTTTCTCTCTCTCTGTCTCTCTCTCTCTTTCTCTTTTTCTTTCTCTTTCTCTCTCTCTCTCTCTCACTCTCTCTCTCTCTCTCTGTCACATGCTCACACTACAAGAACAGTGATAAAATTAATGTATTAGTGACATACTTTTCCCTTGCTTTCCTTCCAGGCCTTCCTCTCTCGATGCCTTGGTCTTTGGCTACCTTGCACCATTGTTGAAAGCTCCTCTACCTAACAACCAGCTACAGAATCACTTGAAGCAGTGTGATAACCTGGTGGCAATGTGCAATGAGATTCTCACCTCCTTTTTCCCAGCAAATGTGAAAGGTAAGCTACAATTATTTAAAATTTCTTTTTTCAGACTTTTTTATTAGCACCCCGTCCCTGCAGTAGTCTCTTCTTCAGAGTTCAAGAGCATGTAGGGCTACGGTAATTTATGGAACTTGTTGTTCTAAAACATGGGAAGGGGGGGGGGGGGGGGAATCCATCTCCTTAATAGTTTTACTCTTGGAAACCATCTCTTTGCCAAGCTGCTGAGCTATATATTTCAGTATAGTGTCCTATTTGGAACATTTTAGCCGTCATTCTGTTCCGGACTTTGTGAATTGCTTTTTCAATTTTTTACTTGAAAGCTGCCTTTTTTGACTTGACGAGTTGTTTCAGTGTACTATTTCTCTAGTCATCTGGGGTTTTGGTTTTCATTATCCTTGAAGCTACTGTATCTTTGATTTTAATACAAAAGGATTTTATTTTTTCAATCTAAAGAAATGACCATATTACAGTTTTGTAATCGTTAGACACCTGTATCTGCCAAGATAACAGGGTCTTCTGCCTGTACATCCCAGCCCTTTTCACCTTTTGTGGAGAAAAAAATGCTCTAAGTGTCTGTTTTCCTAAGGTGTCTGCAACCACTCTTTCATTAAATTGCTGTGGCTTTGAAACAATGGCCTAAAAAAGAAAAGTAATGAAAATTCAACTAAATTTGGTCCATACAGACCTTAATTATGTAAAAGTGTCCGACCCATTTTCCTTATTACTTATTTTAAAGAATATCTTTTTTGCATTCTCTAATTAGATATATGGCTTGTTTGTAATGGCTGTTATCTTCTAGAATGTAAATCGCATGATGTCCATTGTGATTGGTCCCTCTACTGTTCAGGTAGTACCACACATCTATTTGTTCACTACATGTTGCAAGGGAGCTTTGTGATATTGTAGTGTACCCGTAACACTTTGCAGTCACACAGCAAGCAATATGAAATACCCCATCTGGTCACCCTGCCAGGAGTTCGACTGCTGCACTAGGTGATCCGAACGATGAATTTTCACCAGTGCATTATTGCGCCAAGTGACCGCAAAGTTTTAGGCAGGATATGGAGAGCTTTGAGAAATGAATCCCTATAAATCTGTTTGTCCTGTAGTCCACTGGTGTCCTCAAGGACAAATATGTGTCATGACACAATGGAATCAGGCATTTGTCAATTTTTGGGCATATATGGAGTTAATGGCGCGTTCGTCAATTTTTGGGCATATATGGAGTTCATTGTATCATCTTAAAGCTTGTTTATTTGCCTTGCATTTAATGAAAAAATATCCATTTATCTTGAATAGAAGTTATTTGCGATTGAAGGCTGTAAAAATTAATTTAATTTCAGAGGTAAAATTAACGAGAAAATGGTCGCCAAAGTTTGGTGACTTCCATAGCTTGAGTCCTTTGAAACTGCAAATTAAAATTTGTTGTGCAAAAGAATCGACGTTTTTTCCATAAAATCCACACGTAAACGTGTTTTTGAATCGACATACAATGTGTTGAGCCCAAAAACAAAAATTCTTTAAAAATTTTCAAACTGGTCTAAAAATAGAGATTTCTCGGATCTTTTCTTTTTTTGATAACCTTTCTGTACAGGGTTAATTGTGTCCTCTGTCAGGACATGGTCATTTTGTTCGCGTTCTTCTTTCCAACACGTACACGTACATGTTTAATTTTCTCCCCAGTATACGAGGAGCAGATGCGGAAGGAGGAGGCTGAGAAGAAAAGCAGTGGAAGCAACGTTGACCACGCGGAATTCCCCAACAGACGCCGGAACATGATCTTGGCTGCCATATTTGCCCTCACGGCGATGGTTGGCTATGCCCTCAGTAGTGGCATGATTGAGGTTCAGGTGTTTGATGAGGAAAAACCAAAAGGACTGAAGAGTGTAAACAGTTCTAAGAAGTCGTCAGGTGGAGGGGCAGCTTTTGAAAAGTCTAACCCCATGTTTGAGGGACATAGGGAACCGGGTGGAGAGTAATATATATATAAGGATCACCATTAGTTTAGCTGGTTAGTGATGTTTTCTTTTTGCTTCGTTTTTTTAAAGTTGCAAATGGTCATAATATGAAGCTATGCTCCACATTTGCTCCTCTTATTTCATAGGGATTTTGTCCGTCATTAATTTGGATATCATTTTCATAACAGTTTTCTTTCTTTTTGTAATAACAAGAACGTATTTTGGAGGCTTTGTTTATTTCATTTGAAGAACAAATTGCATTTTTTAAAGCAGATAACATAAATTGACAGCTATCATTAATTTATTTCTGAAAAAGCACAGTATGTTAGTAGTGTCTTAGTGCTAGTATACAAGTGCATGTTTTTCTACTTGTATTTCATTATGAGTTACATAAACTCTCGCACGTGTGTTCAATTTTTCCATTTTTTGTGAAGTGCATAGAACACATACACTGACCTCAGATGACTTGTGTTTGTGATGCATGAACATACAAGATTTGTTTTTCGATGATGACAGCTATACAAGTACTTGTTTGTATATAAAAACTCATGATTTTGAAAGCATTATTGCTTGGTATTAATAAAATTTGTCTGTCTCTCTTTATCTGGAGTTGGTTGTTTAAATTAGATGAGGAAAAAATGTTTAAAAGATACTTTCTTTGCCTTTTCAGACCTTCTCTCCTTTCATTACTCCTATTCAGCCACAAAAATACTAATAGGTCTTTTAGTGGTTGGTGAGTGCTCAGGTATGGTTTGCTCCTTCTTTCCTGTCATACATCTATCATTTTTATCTTTCCTCCTTTTTTGTGTTTGTAACTCTCTTGTATCACATCTAATCTTTTGCACTTATATGACTTAATGTGTTGGAAGTGCCTCTAAACTTGTACAAAAACTGAACTAACTTATAGATCCTGGTGTAGTTTTATGTGAATAGGTTGAACACCCTTTTCGTTACTGGAAGTGTGGGTAACTGGTGGATGCGCTATTGTGGTTTGCACCTTCTTTCCTATCAAGCATCTTTCGTCTTTATCTCTCCTTCTTATTTGTGTTTGTTAACTCTCTTGTAACACCTCTAATCTTCAGCACTTATACCATCTAATTGTGTTGCAAGTTCCGTAAAACTAACACTAAACACTGTAAGGTTAATTATGAGGTGGGACTTCAATATTTAACATCCATCTCTGATAGGACTGAGCCAAATAGCTGGAGCGCCCCGCCAGGGCAGTGCTTCTGACTGAAGTTGTCTATAGGCCATTCCCAAAGGGGAAATATTAACATGTTCTTATGCACAATAACATTGCAAATGGGCTGATTTAGCAATGTCATACTCATACTGTGCTGGAACAACATAAGGGGAACTGCTGCTTTTTCTTTCCCCATCCTTACTATCGTCATTTTTCCTCTACATTTATTCTTCTTTAGTATCTTTGTCACTCTCTTGTGAACTGTTATTTCCTGGGTGCCTTGATAGTGGAAGCAGACTTTGTGCTGTTGAGGCTAGAGAGGTGAGCAGAGTAAGCCTGTTGACATCCACCCCTTCGTCCTCATATAACCTTATGCAGTTGCGAGCGCCTTAAAACCTTACTAAAACTTTTAAAAAAGAAATAGCTGGAGAGCCTTAAAAAATCTCCCAAGAACAACCCAAGTTCAGAACATCCGTTTGGGGATTCAAACCAGGGCCACCTACTCCGTAATCCAGGGTGATACGTGTACCAACTGAGTTAATAGTGCACCCCTTGTGCAGCTGATATAGACTTAAGGCTTTTTCTTTCTCTAGTAGCCAAGTAATCCAATCTCTTGTTCCTTTACCCATTAGCAAGAGTGGTGGAGTAGGTACATGTATTTATGTTTGATCTTTTCACAATTTCAAGATTTGAATCAGACTTGGGTCCAAAATTATTTTTCTGATCTTTTCCAGGATGTATGGTATTCTCTCTGCGTAGTGTATCAGTTCTTTGAAATTTGTTGTCAAAGTGAATTGCCTTGTTTTTTTCGTGGGGTGTTACTTGTATGTTGAAATCTGAATGTTGATCCTCTTGCATAGAAAATAGGTAAAAACTCTCAACTTTTAGTGGTAAAACAGAAGTTGGGCCCTGAGTATTACATGTACTAAAGGTTACGTAGCAATTCTTTGTGAACGATGGACAGGCGGGCTGTGAGGGAACATTTTTATTTACCATTCATTTGCATTGAATTCTGAGAAAAAAACACAAATATATTTTCAATAGAAATAGCAATTGTATAAATATAATTATCACAGTCTTCAACAAAAAAGTGCTCCATACATGTAGTATGTAACCATTTTTCCCCTTGGTTTATACGTGTACATTAATATTTTTTCAAACATCTCAGTATTTATCCAGCTAATAGTAAGTATTGGCCGATGAAGGGGACCACGGGGTTGATTTTTACATAAATAAAATTAAAATACCAAGCAGACATAGGGCCCCACTGCTTACTGTCAGACAAGCAAGACTAGTGGAGGACCTGGTATATAGCGGCATGATAATAAGTTTGAATATTGTCCACCTATATGAACAAGTTGAACGAGTAGGTTGATAATAATAATAATAAAATTAGAATGTAAATTTCTGCACTGAGAGCAAAGCCAGCTGTCATCACTACCACCACCACCTACCTCTCTCTCTCTCTCTCTCTCTCTCTCTCTCTCTCTCTCTCTCTCTCTCTCTTTCTCTCTCTCTCTCTCTTTCCCTCTCTCTTTCTCTCTCTCTCTCTCTCTCTCTCTCTCTCTCTCTCTTCTCCTCTCTCTCTCTATCTCTCTCTCTCTCTCTCTCTTTCTCTCTCTCTTTCTTGCTCACTGACTCGCACACGCACAAACACACACACACACAAACTCTCATAGACGACACACTCGTACGCTCTCGCTCTCATTCTGTATCTTACGTACGCATCATTGTCATAAACTACAACTGCCTAGAGACACCCTTTTCCTCCTTGTAAACGTGCACGGAAAAGTCAATTACAACAATCTCGGAGGGCCCGTGTGCAAGTTGCGCACGTTAAATATCCCCTGGTGGTCTAAAATCGATTAGAGTAGGCTTCGGCCGCCATCCGGGCAAAATTCAAAATTTCCTACCAACTAAAAAGTATAAGGTGTGTCCCGCGCGCTCATATGACCTTATGCAGTTGCAAGTGCCGTAAAACCCTATACTAAACAAACAAACAATTACAACAAAGTAGAATTCAATTTGGATATAGACTTATTAAGTCTTTCTTTTTCCAACCCATCGACTCACAACTCGCACAATCTATCCATACCGGCAGACGCCATGTTCCATGTTGTAAACATATGCACAAAGCATTTAATAATAACAACCTGGATTTCAACTAAATTATGTCTTTAACTCTGTTTCTGTAAAAACACCCACTGTCACAACTCTCATTATTAAAGTTAAAGGTCCTTGTCATGTACTCTCTCCCCTCCTGAAGTCGTGAGCCCAAAAGAATCTTAAGGGGGTGTAGCTATGGTCAGCACCCAAATGCTATAGTTTTTGGTCTAATGCTTGCTTTTCTGCATCAACGGGGGTGACATAGTACAAAAAAAGGTTACCAAGCAAAAAATTCAAGATTTTAGCCATAATAATCTCGAGCCATCAAAAATAAAGGATTGATTCAGCATTTTTAAAACCAATTTTATATTTTGTCAATCATCAACACTCATCAAGATAGAAGCCTAATATTTGGCATGGCGATTACTGTTGGTAGGTAGAACAACCTTACAGAGCCAAATTTGAATTTTCTGTACTGACTTGTGAGCCTTACAGTCCTTGTTATGCACTACATTCAGGTCTCCAATGTTTTAAGATTTTGTAAAATAAAAAAGGATTAAAACTCCAAATGTGTACCATAAACAGCAAAAATGCTTCTGTAAAGTTTTAGAGAAATGTGTATAAAAGATTGTGTCCAAATGTGAAACACTTCTGACAGTAACTTTCTGAGATCTACTCAAAATAGTTTTGCAACCTGGTCAGATAAACAATTCTGAGAAAACTGCAAAGAGAGATAATTTTTGGTGAAGATTTTCCTACATTGCTACCTCTCTTAAATGCATTTTCCAGCTATTTCTAAGTTTGATTAAGGAATTAGGCTTCTAAAGATGAGTCCTTGATATTGATATCTATCAAGATACTCCAAAATCCGAAAACTGATATTTTTTCAAAATTTTTACTGATCTGACCAGTGGATCCCCTTAAAATAGATTAGATTTCAACTCCAGCTTTCTCTTTTTCTTGAACATACACAATGACCACTCATCATAATCAGCTATCACATTCAACAGACACTCTTTCCCAAAGTGAAGACCTACATGCTTACAAAACCTTTAATCAAACAGTCAGTTACAAGTTGGAATTCAGTGTCAAAAACCACCAACACACTGTCACCATCTAGCCGTGAGGGGTTGTCCCCGGAGTCCAGTTGGCTTTGGTGACGTGAGTTTTCCGAGCAAAGACTTCTTGTACAGCTCCCAGTCGGCCTTGCCCTGTAGACTGGACTGTAGAGTCCCCTCGTCCGGGTAGGGCTGTACCATATCCGTGAAGTGTTTCTTCACGCGGTCGTTGGCGTGTCGGATGAAGAACGACTTGGACAGCATGATGCACTCGGCCCCCAGACTGACCTGTGAGGGGTTAGGGTATTCAGAGAAAGTCACGTGGACAGGTTGAAAGGAAGGCAAACAACCGTGATGACCATAAAGTGCACATACACACACACACACACTCACACACACACACACATACACTCACTCACACACACACACACACACACACACACACACACTCACACATACACACACTCATATTATGTATGTATGTGTGTGTGTGTATATATATATGTGTATATATATATATATATATATATATATATATATATATATATATATATATATATATATACGCTATATATATATATTATATTATAATATAGTCTATATACTGAGTTGCAAAAGTTCTGTCACGCCCATTATATTACGAATTACGATAATTTTCGGTACGGCGTAAGAATTGCAGTAAAAATTAAAAGTACGACGTGTGTGACTTATGAGAGTCCATGTGCAAGAGCAGACGAAAGAAATCATATATCGGAAGTAGTGCGTGGACAAAGTGTGGGTATTGATTTCTTTAGATCTATCGTTGAAATCAACTATTCCTACACACAACATTTGCTAAAATTTGCTTTGAATCACGTAGACAATGAGTAATATTTAACGGTTGGTACTTTTTTCACCTGTTTTTCAAAATAAAAAAAACCCTGATAAATTCAGAAAATAAAGTGGCTGTGTGTATGATAAATTCTTTAATTGCGCTTTCTGCTGTTGAAAGACACGTAAATTTGTGTAGAAAAACCCTCTAACGCTTGGACAAACGTATAAACACCACTAGAACTGTCCAAGACAAGTCTAGGCGAGGCCAACCAAGGGCGACAACTCGACGTCAGAATTAGGTTATTGTCAACACCCATGTACGAAACCCGTTCCAACTGAGTGCATAGACTGTCAGGTACTTTGGACTATCTTAAAACACCATTATTAGACTTTTATAAGATCGTGGATTACGTGATTATCGCCCTTTGCGTGGAGCCATTCTAACCCTGTTTCATAGAACAAATCGCCAAATTTTAGCACAACAAAATTGACGATGAAACTAAAGACGTTGATAAAGTGTTCTTTTAAGCAATGGTTACGATTTTCAATTCATCGCATTGATGGAAGAGAAACAGTGTTTAAAATCCAACGTCCCCCGAGCCCCCCGAATCGGTGGCTGAAATGTGATGGTACGGGGTGGAATCTCTGCTCTTTGTCGTAAACATTTGGATACTTTTTAAAGCAACCCCAAAGGACGGCGGTATTGTGACGAAATTCTTGGCATGGATGATGGAAAGTGCTAACAAGACAACACCAGACCATAAATGGCTACGATTATTGAAAATTCCTTCCAAACTCATCAAATCGTTCTTCCGGACAGGTCTGCAAGACCAACAAGCCTTAACCCAACATAACATCTGTGAGATGGCCTTGACTGGAAGATTAGAAACAGGCAGCACTCCGTATAAACTCGTCAGGAACTGAAGACTGCCTTTCACAAAGAATGGCAGGGGATTCTTCGGACAACCAGATGTTTTGTATCTGTAATTCAAGCTGGAAGAGGCCACACGCCATACTTAGCAAACTTGGATTTGGATTTTGCAAGTATCAGTGTAAATAAAAGTATCTCCCTTGAATAAAGAAAGACATTTGTCAATTCTTTTCATGTCACGTTGGCAGATAATGAATAAAGATCTCCCGTACCAAATTTCTCTTGGCTAAGTTGAATAGTAAACGAGTTATTCTACTTTTAAGGTGGGTGTGACAGAACTTTTGAAAACTCGGTATATATTATCATTCAAAATTTCCATTTACACTACAACAGGTCATCCAAAAGAGGATGGGGTGAGGGCGGGGACTGTTTGGGGTATTTGTTAATTGTGTGGAAGGAGCTAGCTTTTTCCCCACAAGAAAAACAGGGGGGCACTGCCCTCGTTTCGATTAGACAGTTCGTCTGTGACACATAGGAGGTGGGACTGGGAATACTAAAGAAATAAATAAACTGCAGAAGCAGGAACATGTAGTCTGATTGCTGTTTGTCCAAGGTTCTGTAGTTATGCTTTACTTAACCAGCATCTGTGGTGTAGTAGAAGTGCTCTTCACTCCTACCCACGAGAAGGGGACTTGGTTTTCACGAGGGAGAAGGGGGGGGGGGGGTATTCTGTTGAGTACTTCCAACTTTCTACTGTGATATTGTTTTTATGTCCTTGCTCAACAAGGGTCGGTTTGATCCAGACAGAGAGTCAAGAGTCGGAGCATTTTGCATCACAAAGGGATTTTGAAAAATGAATGATATACTCACGAGGCTAACGCTGGAAGATCTTGATTCAATACTGTTGTTGAAGTTCACAAGATCCAGACCCTGAAACAAAGCACGTAGGACATATTATTCTATTCTCCTGTTTTACTCCTATTTCCTAGTCTTCAGAACGGTTGACATACTGGAAGTGACAGGGGCTTTGAGGACACTAAACACTTAAAAAGTAAGGCTAATGCACAGCAAATCCACTGTTGTTCCGGATCCAAAAGTTAGTATGTACTTGCGCGTGTGTCTGTGTCTGTGGGGGGGGCTGGGGGGGGGGGGGGGCAGAGGATGAGTAGCAAATAGACCAACTACACATCAGCATTTTATGTTTTACCTCTCTTCCATTTTGTTCCTCACGCCGATACCAGGAAAATAACTCGAAAAGCTTTGCAAAATCCTTATGGTAAAACAAAAGCTCACGACCAGACGCAGACGAAAACTTTGCTGGCTGTTCGATTTTAACGTATGCACCCCTATAATATCGAACAAGGAGAGGTGAAATTCGGGAAAACAGCCTAAAAAAGCCCTCATCCAGGTTCATTTCAAGAATGCCCTCTTGGGAATTGGAACAAGTGTAATGTACACCACAGTTCAGAATGATGCATCTGAGATAAAGACGCCCCAAGAAGCCTACAAACAATTAGACTTCCCAAAAAGAAATATCACTTTGAATTGATTTGACTTACAAAGACATCTTTTGGCTTGAGAATTTCAACCTGGACGAACACAGGCTGCGTCTCCTGTAGTAAAGGATTGTCGGGGTCTGGGACAGGAGTGGATTCCAGATGTCGCCGGGATCTTTGTCTTCTCGGGCTCTGTGCCATGTGGCTTGAAGGACTGTGTCTCGATGACCTACGACCCTGTGAAAGGATAAATGGATGCATGTTAAATACGCACACACACACACACACACACACACACACACACACACACACACACGCACACACGCACACACATATATATATATATAAAGTAGAAGTAGATGATAACTCTGTCACACATTAGAAACTAGAACTAGGTGAACAACATTGTAGTCTAGCAGGATACCAACAAAACTAACAGTGCATCTTGCATGTTCCTTCATATACGGGTGTTTCCATATAAAAGAGGAAGCCTACTCACAAAATGGGGAGTTCCTGTGCTGGGTTTTCTGGCATATCTTAGTTTAGAAAACGCTTTGCCTTGGAAGTCATTGCCGTCCCTGTAGACATCTCTCTCGCTTTCACTTGTCTCCCCTGCGCTGTCTGACAGAATCTCGCGCCTTTCCCTGGCTTCCTGGAAGGAAAAGCAACACACAAAATTATTGTCATACATGACTTATAATCCATATTTGCCCTGGAGTTATTCATATTCTTATTACTATTCTTTTTATTGTTGTTGTTGTTACTGCTGTTGTTATTGTTGTTGTGTGGGTGTCTGTGTGGGAGTCAATCTTTACACATTGTTTGCAGCCCCGAAGAACGTGCTCTTCGCCAGGGCCAACGACTCTTTTGGGTAGCGTGAGGCAGTCCAACCTCCATGAATCCTCCCCAAGAGATGCCACCGCCGGACTCTTATCATGACGTTTTGTCGTCTGTGCGTCCTAAACTCGATAAGAGTAGGCTTCGACCTGGGCAAAATTCAAAATTAATTCTTACAAAACTGAAAATGCACAATGAGCCCAGCGCGCTCATATTACTTTATGCAGCTGCGAGCGCCGTAAAAAAAACTTAAGCATTTACTTTTTTTTAAAAAGCAAAAATCACTCAGAGATAGCACTGGGGGCTCTCGTGATCTATAGATTACGGTGTTCGCCAATCATTCAACAAGTCCCGGGTTTGAAACCTGACAGTGACGGAATTTTTCTTCTCTAAAATGTTCCCCTTTCAACTCTTTTCCTGCTCTTTAACAATGTTCCACCGCATGTTTTTGTCTCCAATTTTTGCACCCCCCCCCCCATCCCCCTTCCCTTGCCCCCTCCGTTGGGCTCCCGACTCTTTCTGCAGCCTTTCACCTGCTACCTCTTAGCCCCTTCTTAGTGCTGTCTTTCAGCCACACCCCTGATCTTAGAGTAGGCAAGATCTAACACCTAGCCTTCTCGGATACAGACGAACAATCTTGGAGGTCCCGTGTGCAAGTTGCGCACGTTAAAGTTAAAGATCCCTTGGGGATCCAAAATTAATAAAAGTAGGCTTCGGTCACCACGCGAGAAAAATTCAAAATTAATTCCTACCAAACTAAAAATGTGTAATGTGTGCCGCATGCTCATAATAAAATGGCTTTATGCAGTTGCGAATGCCGAAAAACACCTACCAAAACCAAACAAACAGATAACACTACTAGATATATCTAGTACAATGCAACACAAGTTGTTGTGAGGGCAAATTCCATTCAAGACCTTCACTAAACAGAAAGAAGCTCACCATTAGTGTGTGCTAGATTTTTGTTTTTTTTTCTTTCTGTCTTTCTATTTTAATTTTGTTAATGGCTGAGCTCTGGGTGTGAGTTTGTTTTCTTTTTTTCCCCATTAACTCTCTTCCCAACTATAGGAACGTTTTGCCTGTTTGTATCTGAGTATCAGATTGCCTTTAAGGAGATGTTACATACAAACGCAATTAGACATATTTTTCCTGTGGCTGTGTCGTGGGCATCGATATAAAACACACATTATTGATCTTTATAAACCGCCAATATGCCCATATTGAGAATATTGATTTGGCCTTCTCATTCCCACACAACCATTCCCCCTTCTCTCTCCCCGCCTCTCTCTCTCTCTCTCTCTCTCTCTCTCACACACACACACACACACACACACACACACACACTCGCACGCACGCACGCACGCATGCACGCATCAAACCCCACGTACACATGCACAACACACTCGCGCACCCTCCACCCCCTCTCAAACCACACACTCACGCTTGTCATCTGTCTTGGGAAAATCGGATTTCGGCAGGGCCTGGGACATTCAACTAATCCGACGTCTATTTTGGCACTCTCCTTTCGACAATACGGCAATCTGTAAGTGTCACTCGGACTGTGCATAGAAGCTTCTTATAACCCAATGCGCAACACAATCGGCCCCTACGTTTGCTTGGTATGGTACAAGTTTGTACCCTTATGCAACCTTCACTGTACCATTGCGTGAACACTATCCAATAGTAATATTACGCTAGCTTAGAATTACAACATTCTATCTGCTCAGTTCCTAGTCAAAGATTTTGAGTTTCACAATATGTCCAGCTTTTTCAAAAGCAATTCTTTGAATATCTTGATAACAACTCTGAATAATCTTACAAGTTTGAGAGAGCATAATTATGTAGAACGTTTGGTTTCTGACCTCATGGTCTTAGTAACTCTTAACGGCCAAGGATGTCAGATAGAACTTTGTAATTCTAAAGTAGTAAAATTAGAAAGGAAGTATCCAACTGTTAGAAAGCACCCAATAACAGTTTTACATTTTACTGCAAAATCTAAAATCTGAAATACTACTTTAATAACCTACTAGACTGAACAATACGTCAATTCAAAGACAGTCCCACCTCAACCATAACCTCACTTCGTCAACGTTTCTATGATCAGAGTATCCAGTAGCATGAAATAGTTCTCGAAAGGTGGGACCGAATCGCACCTGAGATAGTGACTCTTTGTCTACTTACTACTTGCTTCAGTTGATTTTTTTTTCTAATTGGGAAGTTGATTGAGTAAAGGAGTTCATAAGTTTTGATGGTGATTTTTTCTTGTTTGTTTGTTTGTTAGGTTGGGTGGGTTTTTTTT